AGACTTGCTAGAAATTGGAATGAGGAAAGAGGGTGAACATGGTTTGTGTTTATATAGAGAAAAACAAAAGGGTAGAAAAAGTAATTAATGATGAAAATTTGAGGAACAAAATGGTTACTAGCTAGGCTCTCAAAACTTTGGTGCATGTATAAAGCAAACATACTATGGACAATGCTAGTGAATGGGAAAGTGACTTATCTAAGATCCTGCCAGAAATATTAACTCTCATCAAATGGTTACACCAACTAAAGCAAAGTCGTAATATTATCTCAAAAATATTTATATAAATATAATGAAGGTCGGGGTAGGAGTGTATAGATGGTGGACATTGACAGATTCAAAATTTTCATTTAGAGAATTCGAAAAATAAAAATATAGTGCTTGAGATTTAAACTTGAAATCTCAAGATGAATTTTAAATTCTCTAAATCGTCGAATAAATATCTAGTCTTGTATTTGAAGGGACAGAAAGATTCAACGTAAAAATAAAAAATGCGCTTCTATTTCTTATCATTTTTTTGTCTCTTGTAAAATAGAAAGTAAATTGACAAGTAAGATGCTAATTGTCGTGTCCATTACACAGCCGGCTCTAAAGTTAGGCAAGTGAAAACATTTGCGTTAGATAGATATGTGCATCGATCGGTTTGATTTGATTTTATGTATTTATAATTTAATTTTTAATTAGTGAATACGTTAAATCGACAATCAAACAATAAGATATTATCTCAAATATTCCACAAATTCATGAAATATTTATAAAGAGATCAAATCCAAATCAGCTTAATTCGAGAAATACGCCACTAACGGCTCTTGAATTATGAAGATCAAGTGCAAATCATCCTAATTCGAGAAATATGCCACTAAAGGCCCTCAAATTATGAAGAACACCTAGTTCGAGAAATACGTCACTAATGACCCTCAAATTAAGGAAATCAAGTCTAAATTATCCAAGTTTGAAAAATATGCCACTAACGACCCTCGAATTACGGAGAAGTCTAAAGAGAGAGAAAAATCAAGGAAGGAACAAAATTTACTCACGATCTTGATCAATAAAATTAGAGCAACTTTCACATATAGCAAACACACAATTCATATTTGTATGCTATAGCAAAGTTTGCATAATTGCGTTCCATAGCAAACATAACATATATATGTATAATTCGCTATACATATACAAAAAAAACAGTTGTATAATCTGCTTTGGTATACATATACAAAAAGATCAATTGTATAAAGTGAGAGAGGCGAGTGAGCGAGCGAGATCTGGGAGAGTGGCGAGTGAGATCTGGGAGAGGGGAACGAAAAAATATGTATATATACAATTTTCATGCATTTTATACATTTGCGTTTTTTGTATAAAGTGAGAGAGGCGAGTGAGAGAGCGAGATCTGGGAGAGTGGTGAGCGAGATCTGGGAGAGGGGAGAGAGGGGAACGAAAATATATGTATATATACAATTTTCTCTCGCTTTATACAAACACAAACGCACTTTATACACTTGCGTTTGTATAAAAAACGAGAGAGGCGAGGGAGAGAACGAGAGTGGCGAGCGAGATTCACCAGGAGAGAGGTGAAATAGCAACAATTTGCTATGAGGTACAATTAAATCAAACTATATTTATAGCATTTAATTTGAATTAATAGTTTGCTATTGTATACAATTTTCCCATAAAATTATGTTTCTTCATATTATTTTTTTAAAAAAAGAAGAGATTTATCATCATTTTTTGGTTAATTGATTTTTGATTCTTAATAATTCGATTTAACCAATAAAAAAATGCTCATATATATGATGTTTATAAAATAGTAGCAAAAATATAGTGCAACACAAATTTATATATTGATCACTTTTATTTAAGAATAAATTGCAGAAATTCCTTTTAAAGACTCAAACAATAAATTGTGAAAATAACTTTAATTATCTAGCTCTATCACAAATAATTAAAAAAGTATAATAAATATAGATTTTTTAATCAATAGAGAGGAACCTAAGAATATCACCGTCTTTCATTTAAAAAGAAAATAAAAAAAAATATCACTGTCTATATGCATTCATTGAATTTCATTAATTCACGTGGATTAATTATTAGTAGCGATTAAGTACTAAATGAATTATAAAAACATAAGTAAATAATGAGTTTCATAAGATTAAGCATAAATACATACTAAATGAACTATAAAAACATAAGTAAATAATACTCATTCCATTTAAAAAAGAATAACCAACTTTCCTATTAGTCTATTTCTAAAAGAAAGATCGCCTTTTTTTTCAGCAACACTTTAATTTCAGCTCTCCAAGTGACATATGTATAAGACCACAAGATTAATTTTTTTTTAAATACATTTGATATAACTTTAATTTAGGACCACAAAATTAAAAAATCTTCTTTATTTTCTTAATTTTATGTCAAGTCAAATTAAATCATTATTTTTAAAACAGATGGAGTACTGAATAAGTAGTAAAATTACCATTTATTAGCATGACCTCGACTTACTTGGGATTGAAGTGCAATAATTGCTTTTGTATAGTACTACTCCCTCCGTCTCATTTTATGTGAGGTAGTTTAACTCGGCACAAAGTTTAAGAAAGAAAGAAAGACTTTTAAAACTTGTGGTCCAAATGAATGATATAAATTTATGTGACTGTAAATCATTTCATTAAGGGTAAAATAGACATTTTATAGTTAAATTGTTACTTAATATTGAAATGTGTCATTCTTTTTGGGACTGACTAAAAAGAAAAGTAAGACACATAAATTGAGACTGAGGGAGTACTATTCTCTTTTTCCCATATTAGATGTACATCTTACTATAAATATTTGTTCCATAATTCTTTCTTCATCCATTTTTATTTGTCATGTTACGTTTTTCGAAAGTCAATTTGACTAATTTTTAAAGTTAAATTAGATTATATTAATTCCATATTTTAAACAAAAAATTTAGATATTCAAAAACTATACAAAAAGTACTATAAATTGCAAAATTTTTTTGCATATCAATATGATGAAAAAATACATCATAAAATGTGAGTCAAAATATTTATAGTTTAACTCTAAAAAAGAAAACTATGAGAATTAAAAGTGGACAGAGATAGTACTTGATCACTAACTAATTTAGAATAAAATTAGTTTTTTTAGGTTTAGCAAATATAAAAATCATATTAGCGCTTTATAACTTCAATTTTGCTATTTGCGCTCCATAACAAATATAGCTTGCTATGGGGCATCTGATTTGTATAAATCGCAAGCAGAAATCTCGTTTGTATAAAATCGCAGTGATTGTATATGTATATCAGTTAGATAATTGTATATATGTAATTACTATGTATATGTATCAATGATTGTGTTTGTATATCTGCATAAAATTTGAATTTGTATACAATTGAATCGAAATAAAACATTTGTATATCAAATCTCTCTCTCGCTTTATACAATACAAATTATACATTGTAATTTGTATAATTTGTGTTTGTATTGTATAATTTATGTTTGTATAAAGCGAGAAAGAGAGAAAGGCAAAGAGAACTAGTAGCGGAAGATCTGCATTTGTATAATTATAAGTGTATAGGACGAAAATATATGTATTTGTATATACAATTTTCCTTCGTTTTATATAAACACAAACATAATTTATACATTTGTGTTTGTATAAAGTGAAAGAGGCGAGGGAGAGTGGCGAGCGAGATCATGGAGAGTGGTGAGCGAGATTTATGAGGAGAGAGGCGAATGACAAAATATTTGCTACAGATTAGAATTAAATGAAATTGTGGTTAAACATTTAATTTGAATTAATAGTTTGCTATTTTATACAATTTTCTCTAATTAATATGACCTCCGAAAGTTTAAACTATTTTTTGAAGATCTAAGAATTTCATTTTTTGAGAGATTAATTAATATAAACAAATAATAAAATTGATCAATCTATTAATAATTTTTTAATTATTATATAAAATAAAAAAATATTCATAATGCGAATAAATTAAAAACGTTTGTGTACTTTAGATATTCCATGTTAGTAAAGTTACGAGAAGGAAACAATTTCTCTATTTAGATTAATGATTATAAAGTCATCATTAAAGATTCTACCACCATATTTCCAACTAATTTTTTTAGATTATTGAGTAATCATTAAAGCTCAAATGCTAGCGGCGGCTAGGGCATGTAGCCTTTAAGTAGTAGCCCCAATGGAGCACCGATTTATGTGATGTAATTTAATTTTACACGAAATTTAATAAATAAATAAAGAAAAACTTTTGAAATTATGATTTAAAATGTTATAGATATCTATATGATTATAAATCATTTCATTAAGGGTAAAATGAATATTTAAAAATTAAATTGTTATTAAATATAAAAAAAAATGTGTCATTCTCTTTTAGATCGACGAAAATGAAAAATAAATCATATAAATTAAGACAAAGAGAGTATTATAAACAAATTCAAGAAAAGCTTTGGCTGATCCATCTATTATCTTATTCAAAACTAAATTTAACAATACAAAATATATAATTTGATAAAAGTGAAGTGAAATGGTGCCATGGGGTCAATTAGGAAAATAAATTAAGGAGGCATGGTGGAAAAAAGATATTAAAAAGAATGGGAAAAGGGCACCAAGAAAAAGATGGACAAAATGAGTCTTCAATCAAAGAATGATGAAAAGGATCATCTAATCACTTTTCTTTCTGAGTTTAATTTTTATAAATCAAAAGGCATCTAGGTGTATTAAGCTTTTGTTGTGTATCGGATTTTGAGAATGATTTGATCATAACAGTCTATTATATACAAGTTTATTCCATAATTCTAAAAAAAGTAATTATTTCTATCACTTGAATCGGTGACGATCTTATAGTTGCATAGCAACAACTTTTATAATTTTAATTAATAAGAAATAATTATTCAAAATAAATGAAATTGATAACCTATTACGATGAAGTTTAATTGATGTTGCATGTTGTGGTCCTTAGAAAGAGTGTTTTCATTTGACAATTTTTTTGAAGAATGTGTTGGCATTTGCTTCATATTGCTCAATTTTGCAATTTAGACTTTGATTATTTACACATCTCGTGAAAATGCTACAATATGATATCAAGAAAACCAAGTCAACCACTGTTTCATCTAATTAAGAATAACAATCCGCTTAAGGATTTTTCGTTCTCCATTAACTACCAAATCTTTTGAAAAAACCCGGCGAACATGAGGTCTCACTCACTATTTATGGCCAGACAAAAAGAGACCACATCCTAGAGAATCAAATAGGGAATAGGCCATGAGTTTACCCGCTTTCCTGAAGATGAAGGGGAAGAAAGGGATGCCAGGGACAGAGTAACCGGAGGGGGCATGAAATGAACCCGGAAGGGAAGCCACAAGAGCAGGTGTGGAGAAAAAGCGAAAGAGGAAAGATGTTTTCCCATTCGATTGATTGATTCGGAGTCCCAAATCGAAGCCCAAGCCCATACTCTGACTAAGAAAAGTGGAAGTTCCTATCCTGAGAACATTGACATACGATCTTTCCGGATTAGGAAGCAGAGTATGAACCTGAAACCAATATGAAAGAAAGTCATCAAGATAGCAAGTGTCAAGTGTAGGTCTCCCATTCTATTACTAGGAGTTAGAACATGAAATGAAGAAGTAAAACGTTACCGCTCCAAATCTCATTGATTAGGTCTTCTAGATCACCTGATAATCGTCTAATCAAATAAATGTCATGACCTAATGGACTTTAGGACTAAACCAGAGAAAGAGATGTCCTTGTCAGAGGACCAAGCCACTCGAACAAAGTTAGATTAATGGAATACAACTTCTTGACCAATGAGCTTCAATATGAGCTTAGAGAAAAGCATGCAAAACACACTAACCTAACTTAATGAAGGCGACTGCCAGCACTGACTCAGAGTTGATTTGATCAAAATAGTAGTATACCTCCGATTGAATCAATATCGCGTTCTCCTTTGCTGCTATGAAGGAAAGCAGTATGGATATGAAAGCACAAGTTCCGAGTAAGCGGCTTATAAAGTCTTCTCTTGCACCTGGACCGTCAGCTTATATCTTCGGCTTAGTTGGAAAACCCTCCTATCACTAAAAAGTGAGGTTTTCACCAGCACTTGAGCTAGTAGCCACTTTCTTAGATAGGATTTTCGGTTAGTTTGTGTAAGCGTCTTTGTAAGAAATACCCCCAAAACTCCAACAAAAGAGATTGAATGCCAGTTTAGTTCACTTATTTCGGGCATCATCTTACGTCATTTGTTAAAGTGCCTTCTATAAGCCTTTAATTTAAGGATGCTTTAAAGAAGAGAAAAAGTTCCGCATTTCTTGATTCTTAATAGCAGGAAAAATAGAGTTTTTTTTGGCGATTGTAGCGGAGCCGAAGGAGATTCTTTCAATCGAGATTCGCCCAAAAAAAAGTACAAATAGCAAACCTCGACCCCCCTAGGGTATGGCCTACTGGCCTGCAGATATAGGAAGGCGGCCTATAGCAGGAGAAATAGAGTCTTTTTTTGGCGACTGTAGCGGAGCCGAAGGAGATTCTTTCAATCGAGATTCGCCCAAAAAAAAGTACAAATAGCAGCCCTCGACCCCCCTAGGGTATGGCCTACCGGCCCGCAGATGTAGGAAGGCGGCCTGCCTGCTAACCAAACTGCGTAACCAAAGCGACTCCTTGTTGGTGGTTGATAGGTGTTGGTCCGATTCACCTATGTCAGTTCGAACTTGATGGGTCATTCGTTCGTGGTGCTCAAATTAGTTTGTTCGGTTACCTTTCATTAGCATAGGGGTTGAATAGCTTTGTCCACCAGATTCCAAAGCGACTTTAGATAAATGAGAAGAAATCATCAAATATTTTTATCTCTATTGAAATTTGAACCTAAAACTTCACAATGTTCAACTCATTTCATCAATCACTATACTACACTTTTGTGTGCTGGACTTTGATTTGTATGGCAAAACAAGGGGATCATTGTTGGTTTCTTGAACTCTGTTTAAGTAATATCATATTTATATTGAATTTTTGGAAAATGTATTACTTTTAAAAGATTCAACATGCATCCATTTGAAAAGTTCAAGCAACACAAACAATCATGATTACAATTTTTTTGCACTATACTTTAGTCTTGAACTCTTTTGTTTTCTCGACAAAAATGGTCCCTTAGATTTATAGTAAATTCAAAATAATCTCTTAAATTTATATTTAAGCAATTTTAATTCTTTAAAGTTTATCAAAAGTAAGCATTACTATCAATCAAACATTTAAAACAATTTTTAGATGTTGAATTTAAAGGAAACTGTGAGACGAAAAAAGAATTAACTAAAAACCTCAAGAAAATCCCATCAAATGCAAAATCAAAAGATGCCCCACAAAAAAATAGACTCTTCTTTTACATTTTGATATAATGGAAATTATCCAACAGTGACCGCTACAAAAAAAATATCACTATTTTTCTACGGAAAAATGTTTCGTGGCTATTTTTACAAATATTTTGAATGGATCAGTAAATAAAGAAATAATAATAATATTTTCATATAAAAAAAACAGGGAAGTTTCCTACTATTTCGGTGTAAATTTATTTCTCATCATTCATTTTTCCAGTGAGCTAGTTCAATGAGAAATGAATAGAAAAATCATGTTTTATTAAACAAATTTCCCACTGATTCGCAATGGAAAATTCGAGATCCACTCCAGCCGTTACAAATGTTAACGTGCCAATAATGATCATTATGACTATCATGAAAATAGGAAAATGTTACCATTGGGTTTTATACGTTAAAAATGTGAAATCAGAATTTGAAGCTTCATGAATTCAGGACTATAGTCTTTTTATTATTGAAGTTCTAAATTAATAACTTCTACATATTAAATGATTTTTGAAGAACTTCCTTTTCATTGCTAATGGTAACTCATTGTAATTTGAATCAATAATACTCGAAAGTTCTTTAATTTCAATGTATATAAAGGGTATATAAATGTTTTCGGCTCGAGATATGTATACGAATGTGGATAAAAATTAATTATATACATATAATAAGACATACTTACCCTGAACCTATCGACTCTAGATCCTGAATTCGTAATATTGATTTTAAAATATGAAGGTATATTTGCAATTGAGTCATTCATATTACTGAGTGTTCAATTGTCCAACCAAGACTAGAGTAGTAACCATGAGAAAATTGGTCAATTGTAAGTAACCCGTCGCCTCTCAGAGGCATACACGTGCCTTACCAACAAGGGTTGTGATGGAGTGATAAATACCCCTTTACTATCAACCAAAGGTGTCGAATTCGAGCTCTTTTACGAATCTATATTTAGTCAGGCCTCAATGCGGTACAGGACACCAAAAAAACAAACAATACAAGATGGTGTCTTGAATAGATGGTGAATAAACTGGTCCTGGCAAAGAGCAGGATCAGCTTAATTTTGAATTTTCAACCATTTCGGAGAATCTCCATCCCTGTGCAAGCAAGAAAAGAAAATTGCACACTCCCTACGCAGGAATTATCCCGTTCAGGTTCAAAGGGACTTTCTCAGCCTGATCAGTCAGCATTTGAAGCTGATTCAGACACCCCCGGTGCTTTCTCGTGTCAATAAAACTTAAAGATATAAGAGACTCAACACAAGAAAATACGCGTTTTCTTATTACTAACAAAGGAGAGTTTCATTGAACAAGGCTGTTGTCTCAGTTTATTTAACAATACCAAACTAGATACTTACCTAACACTTGATAATGAGGCTCCTACTACCGCCTCCTTGACTGGCCGATGGAGCTGTGATCACTTCAGAAATCTCTGAGCCAGTTTTCGAGCTTTATATATTCCTGAAATTGTATTCATTAAGGTAAGCTATAGGAGCTTAAATCGGAATACACAAAGACTCTGCATTGTGTTGCAAGGTAACAAATACGAGTGTCTTTAAAGGACTTGCAGAATGTAATACTCACCTTTGGCTCTTCAAAGAGTTGATGTAATTTTCTGGCAAGTAGATCTCACCGCCAACCTCACCGTGTTGTTCCCCACTAATGGTTTTTTTAGCAGCTTGAAACGCTGCACTCATAGCATCCATGCCCTGCTGAATGGCTTCCTCTGCATTTCCATAACCATGATTTTCAGCATACTTCCTTATATCTTCGGTTATTTTCATGGAGCAAAACTTAGGCCCGCACATCGAGCAGAAATGTGCCACTTTAGCCCCATCGGCTGGTAAAGTTTCATCGTGGAAGGACATTGCAGTAACGGGGTCCAATGACAAAGCGAATTGGTCCATCCATCTGAACTCAAATCTTGCCTTGCTAAGTGCATCATCCCAAGCTTGAGATAGCGGGTGACCTTTTGCAAGATCAGCTGCATGAGCAGCTATCTTGTATGATATTACCCCTGTCTTCACATCATCGCGATTAGGCAGACCAAGATGCTCTTTTGGAGTGACGTAACACAAAAGTGCAGTCCCGAGTGCTCCTATATTGGCTGCACCGATAGCTGAGGTGATATGATCATATCCGGGAGCTATATCAGTTGTCAATGGTCCAAGAGTGTAAAATGGTGCTTCATTGCACCACTCTAGCTGTTTCTGCATGTTCTCGGGAATCTTATGCATTGGTACGTGTCCAGGCCCTTCATTCATAACCTGAAATAAAACACAATGTTTGCATCAAAGCGTTACCAATTAGCAAGGTAGCTCAAAACTGATATTCAGGTGAAGAAATAGACAAACAAAAAGCTAATTATTGAAACAGAAATAGACAGCATTAGTAATTTACCTGTACATCCTTTTCCCAAGCTCGGCGAGTCAGCTCCCCTTGAGTCAAGAGCTCAGCAAACTGAGCAGTATCATTTGCATCATAAATTGAACCAGGTCTCAGTCCATCACCAATTGATAACGATATATCGTACTGATTACAGATGTCAAGTATGTCATCCCAATGTTCATAAGCGAAATTCTCCTTGTGATAAGCTAAGCACCACTTTGCATGAATTGAGCCTCCACGAGAAACAATTCCAGTCATCCGTTTTGCTGTCAGTGGGATGTACCTAAGAAGGACTCCGGCATGGATTGTGAAGTAATCAACACCTTGCTCAGCTTGTTCAATTAAGGTCTCTCTGAAAACTTCCCAACTCAGATTCTCAGCAATGCCGTTTACTTTTTCTAGTGCTTGGTAAATTGGCACAGTGCCTACTGGTACAGCAGAATTACGCAAGATCCACTCACGAGTCTCGTGGATGTGACGACCAGTAGAGAGATCCATAATCGTATCTGCACCCCACATTGTTGCCCATTGAAGCTTGTGAACTTCTTCTTCAATTGAGCTTACAACAGCAGAGTTTCCGATGTTGGCATTGACTTTCACTAAGAACTTTCTTCCTACTATCATTGGCTCCAACTCAGGGTGCTTCTTGTTTGAAGGGATGATTGCACGGCCTCGAGCAACTTCTGACCTCACAAATTCCGGATCCATTTTTTCACGAGCAGCACAGTATGCCATTTCCTCAGTTATGATTCCCTGCTTAGCATAGAACATTTGAGTATACCTTGGTCCTCCTAACTTCTCCCTCCTGTTAATCCACTCCGTGCGCAGCTTGGGAAGTCCTATTTAGATGCATATAAATAGATTATGTTCTAAATCATAATGTAAAAATCACAACATGACATTTAGCATAATGTTTCATTTGACATAAAGTACAAATAACTTTCATTCGAAAGGTTGTCTTCAGCAGAGTGAAAAGAATATATGCAAAACTTGAACAGATGAAAAGAAAGAAAAAAACAAATGTGGAAACTGATAGCTAATAATACAAAAGATAAACTACGAAGCATCAATCCCATATTAGTTATGGTCGACTATATGAATCCTCGCTATCTATATCGCTCCATTTAAACTCGTCTCAATCCAATGGTTAAAAGAATAAGGTTCTATAGCACTAAGAGGTTTCTATATTGGATTATTTCCCCCTAGTAAATAAATCTCTGAAAAGACTAAAACAAATATTGTACTTCAAGTAAACAAACCTACATGACGAAAACTTACTTTCAACTAATTGGTATCGCCTATATTGGATCATTTTAAGAGCTAATAATATTCAAGATCTTTTTAAAAGAAAACAATTATGAAATAAGGATGAACATCCAAGATCAGATAATTCAACTTCCAAGAATCGAAAATAGAAACTTCATAGTAAGGCAACCTTTTTGGTTAAACGAATTAGTAAGCAGATACCAGTAACATTTATCTAAAAGATTATTGAAAACTCTGCATTCATTATGATGCTATCATCAAAAGGAACAAGGGGAGATATAGTTAATAGGCATACCAACATGCGGGTTTACACCCTGAGGACCACTGGTATCATAAGTGTCAAAATGTGGTTCATCCCCGGAAAGATGGATACGTCGAAATGGGACTTTGAGCACTTGACCAGTTTCTTCATGCATAACTTCACTGCAAATCGCACATTCAACTAATAAACATTTCGTGAACCA